GGTTCAGCTGGTGATACTCTGTTCCCTGCACTGTGCATTCACTTCAGACGTTTATTACAATTCAGCTGGTTTATCAGATATGCTTTTCTACTCCGTTTTGGATATTCCCTTCAGGGTGACGCCTCCTAAAACACTAACGGGTCTTCTTTGCATTTTAGTTTGCATCTGTTGGTTTATCTCATCTTTTGTGCCCAGTATATGTATTAAATATTGGCTTATTTGAGAATCTTGCTGGGAGTCTGCCTGGCATCTTGTTTAATACAGAAATTAGGCAATTGTTTTCTTTTTAGTTAGTGTGTGTACACATGTGAACACATAGCCTAAACTGATCATCGGAGAGCTTGTGTCCGTGTCTCCTCTGAGAGTCAGCTGCTATGTCGCTGGACCTGTACCTTTGAGTTCTTCCATCTCTGTCTCTCCCAAGAAGTCAAAGGGAACATTGCTCGATTTGACCGCAGGCCAGTTGTGGCAGTTGTACGGAGAGTGTATTGACAGTGTCATCTTCTTACAGGGAAGCAAAGAGAAGATAAAGGAGCACGAAAAAACTGCAGTTGGGGCCCACATGCTGCTTCTGCTGCAGCACATAAAGCAACTGAAGGCAAGCTTGTGCAGTGCTGCTAAAGCTGCAAATGGTTCCATCCCCCAGTCAGAGCTGAATGTGAATGGTGCAGGAAAAAGCATCTCTGGTCTGCAGGTCCCTGTGGGGCTGGAAATCAATGGGGATCTGGAAGTAGACTGTTTTCCGGGATCTTCTGAAGATGAATCTGTTCTGCAGCAGCTTGTGAGGGAGAAAGTGATTTCTGAGCTAGAAAATAAGCTACATGTGTTTGAGAATATTGTGGCAGTGCTCAATAAGGAGGTGGAGACCTCTAACTTGGAAATCACAGCCTTTCGGAGACAGAGTGAACTCGATCAGAATATAATACGAGGCCTTGAACTGAAGGTAACTAGTTATGATAAGCATTGTCTGTGTGCTTGTTTTATTGATAGCAAATATTTACACATATCAGAGAGAGGTGGCATAGAGATCAGGACAGGGACGGACACAGGACTTGGAGCTGTGTTAAGTTCTGGACATGTCTACAGGATCCTTTTGTTGGTTTGGATAAATTTTTAAATGGAAAGTTCTACTATTATCTAAATCTGTGTTTAGGTACCTAGATATTCCTGAGAGTTTTGAATGTTCAGAATTTGCCATGATCAGACTGTGAGCAAGACAGCTGTTTGATTGACTGATCCTCTTAAAGCAGTATGTTGCCTGGAGGACCAAAGAAAGGTCTATCCAGCTGTTTGCCTTATGTGTTGACACATAACTGTCACTTAAAAAGAAATCAAAGGAGGCCCTCCAGAACATGAGGACTCCAGAACGATTCCGCTACTTCTGCAGCACAGCAGTCTGGAGAAGTGGGTTGATTGAGAACGGATTTGGGTTTTTTAGATTGCAGAGTTGCACCGGTGCCTGACACAGAAGGATGCGGGCCTGAGCAGTCTTCATAAGAGTCTTCTGTTCTCTGAGCAAGCTTCCTATGATGGGGTCTTTCTGTGGAAAATAACGGATGTTGGCAGGAAGTTACAAGACTCTGTGACTGGCAGAACAGTCAGTTTGTATTCACCAGGTAAAACATATGACACGTACGTGTGGTAGCTAAACCCAGCCCTTTAGGAAACCCACTTATTTCTCTAGAACGGTGCTTCTTTCTACTCATGCAGAGAGGTGGTCCTCTAAAACAGCTCCTTGAATTAGGATGCTGTTTATGCAGAGACCTTGTGCTGTCCTGCCTGTAGTTCAGGCTGTGACGTGCTCTTCCACATGTTCTCTTTGGGCTTTCATTTTGCAATTTGCAGCTACTTGCAGTGACATCTGCTGGATCCGCCTCATCGAGCCCACAGCCTGGTGCCTGATGGTACCCGGTGGCTTTCTGCTGCAGTTATCTCCCATGTCCGAAGCAATTTGATTAGGTAAAATATGCTCGTGTAGCTCATAAAATGTAATTTTCACCAAGACCTGAGGCACAAAAGGATTCCAGCCGCTGGATTTTCACTGGTTATAATCTCCAGGGTGTACTGATTTCTCTGTTCTCATCTCCGTGATAGCAAAACACATCGTACACTATCTTTTCCCACGTGCCAGCACACTCATTGTATCTTTTTTTCAAGGTAGGCTTTACTAATGAAGAGTTCTGATTTTCAGCTTTCTACACTGCGAAGTATGGCTACAAGGTCTGTCTGAGGGTTTACCTGAATGGGGATGGGACAGGAAAAGGAACCCACGTATCCCTCTTCTTTGTAGTAATGAAAGGAGACTACGATGCTCTGCTCCCATGGCCTTTCAGACACAAGGTAAGAAGGACAACCTTTTCAGATCCAGTCCCAGCATAAACCCACTACTTCTCCCAGTGAACACAAGGGGACTTTTTAAGTTTAGTGGAAGTTGGAGCATTTTCCCATTTTCCTCTCCGGTGGCTACTAGCCATACTTTAATCTTGGGTAATAATTTGTCTCTGAATAGAGTGATTTACACATGGGGAAGGCTGCTGTTACCGAGATTCCATACTTGTAGGATTTTCAGACGCCAGAATACTGGTGTTTGATATATCCCAACCTGTGTCCACCTGGGCTAAAGCCAGAGACACGTTTTTTCCTGGCTCTTGCTATACATAGATAATATCAATTTATGAGGAAATTATGATTTGCTGCCTGAAGCACAGATGTTAGAAACGCGAGGTCAGAGTTCTACTTACAAACATGCCATAGATGTCTTATGATCTTACTTTTTCTCATTTTATAAGTGCAATCTGATAATGGCAACAATGGTTAGAGCAGCAGTGAAAGTGTGCGCAAGCTTCTGGTCTCTGTTCTAGCACTTGCCTCCGTGTGGTAACAATTCTGTAAGCCTTTCATATAAATAGCTTTACTACCATTCAGCGGCCAAGAAAAATAGAAATCAAAGTTCCCAATCCTCACTGTATTAAAAAATTATTACATACATTTTGTGTTTCAAGCTAAAGAACAGTGAGTTAATAAAAGCGGTAATGAGATAGATTCTATACAGATATTTAGGTTGCGTCTTTTACATATTTGTGTACAGGCAATCGAGCTGTTTCTTTTGATTCCAAACCACAATAACAGAATGAATGTAATGACTGTTCTCAAACTCGGGGTTTGTTTAAGATGTCAGGGCAGAGAGGAAAAAAGTCTTTGGGCTGTGCAGTTCTCTACCAAGTAATAATTCCTGACTTTATTTTATTTAATTTTATTTTATGGGTGGCAAGGTTTTAAATACTTCATCTGGGAACCGTTACAATCTCCCTTGTTCACATTAACTGACCTTGCAGGTTGTGAAACATGAATTATATTTTGTATTTAATTATCGATAGAGCATCCAGCTGGTTTTGCAGCATGTTTGCACTTCTGTCTCTGATATTTCCTGGTTTATTTTTCAGTTCAATAACTCATCATTGCCGCATTCTGTTTTTCAGGTTACGTTTATGTTGCTTGACCAAAATAATAGGGAACATATTATCGATGCTTTTCGGCCAGACTTGACGTCTGCTTCATTTCAGAGACCAGTGAACGATATGAATGTTGCGAGTGGCTGTCCCATGTTCCTCCCTTTGTCCAAACTGCAGTCACCTAAATATGCCTATGTGAAAGAAGACACGCTTTTCCTTAAATGCATTATAGAAACAAATTAGTGAATCCAGAGGGCCTGAGCTCCACGGAATCGGTTCACATCAGCTGAAGATCTGCCTGCTGGAGTTAGCTACTGCTGAGCATGCTGAGAACTTTACGCAGTGCCCCACGGAGCGTGCCATCGTAAACGAGATCTGTCATTATTTCATGAAAACGGCCGATACTCCCGGTTCAGGTGTAGGTTACAGTCACACCCCTCCCTGCGGATGCACTTGTGGAAAAGGTGCTGTTCTTGCCTGGGTGTCTGGCAGGGAGCTCCCCTCTAGCACCCGTGGGTCAGGAGGTTTCTGGGATGCAGGGGGTGAGGCTGAGCTTTCCCCACCCGCCAGCAGCGCCGCGGCGTGTGCGGCTCCCTGTCCCGGGAGGCACGGGGCGAGCACCTGTCAGACCGCGCTGGCTGGCAGCCCTGACGGGGGATTTTGGCTGTTCCCCCACCAGGGACAAGGGCAGATTCCTTCCCCTGAGGCACCGATCGGGTGTCTCTGTTTGTGCTTATTGATGACCTTGAAAGCAGTGAGTTGTGGATAGCATTTGTAGCTTGAATTCGTTATACCGGATGATTTATTTCTTGCTATTTATTTTAGACCTGTATTTATGTGCTCTGTAAAGAGATGTTCTATTGCATCAGCAATCGGTGACCAGATTACACTGTGCCTTGGGGAAATTACCTCTTGTACTTCCAAAGGAGTTGGTTGACTTTCCCATTTCAGACAGGGAACTCTGAGAGTTGTTAACCCTGGGAATTCCAGAGCTGCCAGTCCAAGCAGCGGTAGGGACCCCGCAGTAGCTTTGTTTTAAAGTGTTCGGTCACTTCCTGAACCTTCAAGGCAAGTGACTTATTAGAAAGTATTGATCTTTTTTTTTCCTTGCTTAATTCTTTTTATGTGCTCTGATGGTTTTCACGTGCTAAAATAGAAGTAACTACTAGAAATATTTTTGTCTTTTTTTATTAAATAGAAGTAAGGAGTTAATTTTTATTTTATAAGCCAGTCAAGCTTGGAAACGTCTGGATGTGTGCGAAGTTCAAATGCCACACCTTACCCCCAAAAAGCAGCAAGCCTTACCCCCTTCCTTCCCTGCTTAACAACCGTTTGAGAGAATCAGTGGAGTTGAGCTGGTTTTGGTGCAGCAGTTTCTGAACTTCAAGCAAACTCATGCCGCAGTACGGTTTGCTTGGGCAGGACTGCGAGCTGTTCCGCGGGACAGGCGGGACGGCAGCGCACAAACCCGGTGGCACGTGTGTATATATAAGTGAAAGACCTTTCTGCACTTACTTTATTCATTTTTCCTCTGCAATATTTCCTACATCTCAATTGAAAACACAAAGCTGACAGACGATACTGTGCCCGCTGCGGGAGGAGGGAAAGGAGAAACTGTTTGTCCACTTGTATTTTGCAAACCATGAAACCGCAGCCCTCCGGCAGGGCTGGTGAAATGTCATGTGCTGTGACTAACCTTCAGCCCGACTGCTGGCATATGAGGAGATTTTTCTTATTTCTATCTTGACAGCATCCTTTAAAATGATTGTGATGAAGTGTCAAATTTCAAAAAAAAACCCCAAACAACCCAAATAAATATCTATCAAAGCTCATTTGGGAAAGAACTGGATATTCTTTGCCATCACACACACAAAGAGTCTCTCTCTCTCTTTTTCTCTCTTCCATGTTTAAAATGTTCTTTCAGGGACAGAAAGTTATTTTTCCAGTAATGTGCCAGACCCTGTAACCACACTGGAGTAATATGCCTAAAAATATTATGCTTTTCATGGCTGTGTAATTTTGACAAGTGCTGTATTTATTACAATCATTCATATTTTCTTAGAATTTTATTTATTTCCTAAATAAAGCTCATTAACTAAAAAAAGGTTTGTGTGCTATTTTCACTGTAAAATAGGGAATTGAGCAACTTGGAGACAGGATGATAGCTAGCGACGTGCAATAGGAACAGCTGAGAAGTGCTGCAGCCCTCACTTATTTCTACTGTAGTAGCACCAAGCAGGTTTGTTCCGTGCCGAACCCGGCCGTGCTGAGCGCTGCCCGCTGCCCCAGAACTCACCAGCCCCTGTCCCGACGAGCTGCTGTCGCCACCAGCGAGCCGAAGCTCCTTGCCTGTGGTCCTGCAGGAAACGAGTGGAAACTTTGGGAATGAACCCTAAAGCATCTCTGCTCCGTCCGTGCCGTAGTGGTAGGGTCACCTTTTCATCGCCTGCGGAAGCTGGCGGGTTTGTATGGAAGATGTAGCACCCAATATACGGGGGTTTGACCTGGAAAATTGGGTAAATGGTTGGATGACTCCGACCGCAGCCAGGGTGAGTGCTCAGGGGGATCTGGGCACGGGGAGGTGAGGGTGGGTGAGGACGATGCGATCTGGCACACCCAGCTCCTTTCCAGAGCCTCCTCTGGCTACCGCAGCCACAGCGGGAGGCAGGCGGCGGCTGATCTCACAAGAATTACCGCAGATTAAGATAGCGGTCGGCTCTGGTCGGCTCTGCCTGGTTGCCAGGGGAGTCCAGTTCCTCCGTACCTGTGTAAGCCATCCTTGGCCCTCGCTGGCCGTGGAGCTGCTTTCCCACGGGGGCGGTTAATTAGCTGCTTTTATCGTAGCGGGCGCTGACTTCCCAGGGCGGCTCGGCTGCCTCTCTGCTCCACCGTTACTTTTTTGTGCAAAATCGTTTTCCACACAGAGCTGTTATTTCTTAAAAATAATTAGGAGGGTTTTCCTTGTGTGTGAGAGACAGAGAGAGAAGGTGGGGGGAGATGAGTAAAACCGTGTGTGGGTGAGAGCTGGGGAAAGAGAGAAAGTGTGTGGGAGAGAAGATGCGACTGTGTGAGAGTGTTTGTGTGCGTGTGTCTGCAGCGAGGAAAGTAAAAACGTGTGTGTGTGCATGTGTGCATGTGCGGGTTGAGAGGTACATCCACCGGAGAGTGAATGACCTGACGCCTCCGTGCTTTTCTCTAGTGTGATTCTACCAGGAGAATTACACCGATTTTCTTCAAATCCTGTGCACAGTCAGGATTTCACTGATGGCAGGAGCCTGGTGTCGCTCTGGGCAGGAGGTCAGATCTCACAGAAGCAGCACAAGCTGCAGGGAAGCAGAAGCATCCACGCTGGCCGAATAAATACCCTGGAGAAAGGATGCGATGCGCGAGGGCTCTGTCCGTCCTGGCGTGACCAAAACCAGCCTGTGCCTGACCTGCCCTGGACACAAGAGCGGGGCAGGACGGGGGGGGCTGGAGACCTCGCTCGGCGCATCCCTTCTGCAGCCCCCCCGCCTCGGAGGACGGGGCTGACGATGGAAGAAGGGACCTGCTTGGTAAAAATCAATTTTAAAAATTTATTGGAAGTCTTTTAGTTCCAATTTTCTTTTTATATCGGAGATTCTCAATGGGGAAATCCCTGAAGTAAAATGGGAGGAAAGCTGAAAGACTGCGGAGTTTGCTGGATGCTGTGCTCATCGTCCTGCAGTGCGGGGCTGGGGCAGAGGCGCGGGGCAGACAGCTCGTTGGTGTAAAACCGTCCCCAGGATGGAGGAAGCGTTGCTCCTTCACGGCAGGTAAGAGCGGGCCTCGTGGGAAGCAGCGGCCAGCTGAACCACCGTGAAACTTGTGAAAGTGGGACGTTCACTGTGGGATGTGCGTAATTAATGGCAGAGTCCTGAGGTTACTCGAGGCCCGAGAAGCAGTGGGGCAGCCTGGAGCCACAGGCTGAAGCCACAGGATGGAGCCCGTGAAGGAGCATCGTGGGCTGGACGAGCAGGACTGGCTCTGGGCTCAGCCTGGCTCCTGACGAGCAGAAGCGACGAGCCGGAGCCTGTCGTTTCCGCGCTGCAGGCTGGTGTCCGGGTTGGGAACACCCTGCTAGAGGAAAGGGGGAGCAAAATCCCCCCAGGCAAGCGAGGGGCTCCCAGAGCCACCCATGGGGCCATGGCTGGACTCAGGGGTGGCCGGTGGCACTGGGGGTCCCTGTCTGCACAGCACTGCGCCCCACAGCCACAGCCCGAATTCTTCTTCGACGCTGGTAATTGCAGTTGCACTCACAGGCGTTTGCTTAGTGCAGTTCTGTAGCCGGGTGAGCAGCGCAAACATCCCCCCGTAAATACAGCTCTTCACTCTCCATTTCTCACTTTTCCCCAAGAACAAAACAGGCTTTTCTTTTTCTTTCTTTCTTTCTTTCTTTCTTTGGGAGATGTCTTTCCTGAGCCGTGCTCAGGAACTGCAGACGTGTACATAACATATCTGTGTCAAAATTATGTAAGGGTTCCATTAATATAAAACTTGCACAGCTGTAAGAACACTTACAAGCTCTTCATGTCTTATGCAATTGCATAGAAGCAAGCAAAGAAAGTTAGGTTAAAAAAAAAAGGATATGGATTAAATTCATACTAAATAAACAATAAAAAGACATGAAACCCAATGCCTAAATGCTCTTCCTTTTAAAGGCACAGCTGGCATAAAACAGCTGAATGTCAGATTTAACTGCTCTGATTCTAATTACAACCATACCTTTGTTCGAATATGCCCTTTGGTATATCACTTTTCTCTGAAAGGGCTCGAACAAGAGCTAACTCCCCCTGTGCCGTGGCGCACGAGGCACTGCCGGAGCATTACCGCGTCCATGTGGAATGCATTGAGCTGCGGCGCTTTCCAAACACAGGGCTCCGCTCCGGGCTCTGGTCTTCCTGGAACAGGCTCCTGATGTTCATCTCCAAGACCTTCAGCCACAAAACCGTCTTGATAAGGGAACGGATGACACTTACCGGGAAAGAAGCTGAAATTGGAGCGGTATCAGGAGTTCTCTAATTCAGCAAATCATTTCTGTTGCGGAAGTGAACAGCCAAAGTGATTTTTTTTTTTTTTGGTCTGGACCAAATCAAATGATGCAGAAAAATCAAAGTTTTAGTCAGGACTGGTTGCTCTGTGTTTAATGGCTAGGTTGGCAAACAGTAATAGTGCTTCTGTAGTTACAGTGGTCTAAAATAATCAAGGACAAGGTTTGTAAGGAA